GCAGAAACAACAAGAACTGAATAAAAGCAAAGAGATTATCGTATTGGATCATAAACGCTCGAATGCCATAAATATTGCGATGACAAAGTTGCCACCGCCGCGTGCCATTAAAGCGGCGATATTGAAGATGGATGCAACGGTGGTGACGCGCGAAGGCATCGATAAGCTATTGAATATGTTGCCAACGGATGAGGAACGCGGCAAGATACAAGAAGCGCAGGTAATGATAATATTACAAAAATAGATAAGATAGGAAATTTGCTTACAAAAAAAAAAAAAAATCGGAGAAACTATTCCTTTATTTATGTATGTATGCATGTCTAAATTACGCGCACCGTCCTATTTCTTATGTCTTAAAATAAAAATTTTTCTTTTAGATGGCCAATCCAGAGTTGCCTTTGGGCAGCGCCGAGCAATTTCTCCTCACCTTGGCCACCATTTCGGAGTTGGGCGCGAGGCTAAAGCTGTGGGCATTCCGCTTGGATTTCGATAATAGCGAAGTAAGTAAAGTATACAGTTATTTTGAATGCCACAAAAAATTGCAAAAACTCAATAATCCGCTTCGTTCAATAGAAAGAAATTGCGGAACCATTGATGGATCTGAAACAAGGCATCGAAATTCTACGAAATAATCGCACCTTCAAATGCATTCTGTCGACGCTGCTGTCCGTCGGAATATTTTTGAATGGTGCGCCAGTTAAGGGTTTCCAGATCGAGTATTTATCCAAGGTATGTCTGGCTTGCCTTCCCTATGCACATCCTGTCATTACCTGTTTGCTCTGATTTTTGCCCGCAGGTACCTGAGGTCAAAGACACCGTACATAAGCATTCGTTGCTGCATCATCTCTGCCACATGGTGATGGAGTCGAGTCCGGACACCACGGATCTATACTCGGAAATTGGGCCAATCACGCGCGCCTCTAAGGCTGACTTTTCCGATTTGGCACACAACTTGAGCCAGTTGGAGACTGAATGCAAGGCTTCGTGGGATCGCCTCAAATTGATTGCCAAACACGACTGTCCACCGCAGCTGAAGCAGAAGTTGGTTGACTTCTTGGCGGACTGTGCGGAACGCATTATCATTCTGCAAATCGTGCATCGGCGTGTGATTAACAGGTGTGTTGAGTTTTGAAACTGTATTTTCCTGCAGTTGGAAAACAATTATAAATCCCTTTGCTTGCAGATATCGCAAGTTCTTGCTGTGGCTGGGCGTACCCCAACACAGCGTTGCCGAATCGAAGCCAAACGAATTTTGTCGCATTCTTTCGGAGTTCGCGCTAGAGTACCGCACCACACGTGAGCGCGTGCAACAGCAGCTGGAGAAGAAGGCGAACCATCGCGAACGCAATAAGACGCGTGGCAAGCTCATTATAGATATGGCCAAATTCAAAACCAAAGAGGATCGCGCCGATGCGGAACTGAAGTATGGATTCAATTAGATTTAAAAATAGTCCTAAAAGCCTAATACTCACTTTGTTACCTCTTCCCTTTAAGAGAGTTGCTCGGCACGCCCAGTTCCGATACAGCCGATGGCACATTGACGTGGCGCCGCAGACGCGCCGAGAACTTGCGCTCGCCCATTGCGCGCCAGAGCGAGGAGAACTTCACCGATGGTGATGATGAGATCCTGGAATCGTTGGTAAAGACTGCGACCAAAGCGCCAGGTACACGCACGACGCCGCGCGAACGGAAGCGCACACGCCATGCTGATCGCAAATCATGTAAGTTGGCTGCACACACAAACACACATACATATCAATGTACATAAGTATGTAGGTGTAGGGCTCAATAGCGCTGCGTGGATTCTTTTAATAAATTCACAACTCGTTTTTCACCAGAGTATCGGCTGTGGAAACGAGCAATCAAGCAGTAATTCAAAACCACTTTCAGACAAGTTTTCACTTCAAAGTCCACAGGCAATAAATACACACACAAACACATACATACATCATTTCCAGTAAAGAAAAAAAACCGAACGCATAAAATTCTAAATTTCGGATCCAATGCTGCTAACGGTTTTTGGCTTACCACGTTGAAAATTTTTGATTTTTGCGCAATTTTTTGGGACTCTTTTGTGCAACTTTTTTAACAGTGGTGTTGGTAGCTAAAATAGTTTTAGTTTATAGTAAAAAATTTATTAACCATATATTTTTACAGCTCAACGATTTAACCTGACTTACACATTTTTTTTTATTTTTATTTTTATTAATTTCATATGTCCACAAATAACTATCTCCACTCCAAATTGGGTACTCTCATTGGCTCGCGAATTATCAAATGTTTTCCTTCACTTCATTTATTTGTTAATCTCTTCATTTGAAAATAAATCCCACCTGTCACTGCGCCAACTCGTTAAACCCCCGAAACAATCGCAATCGCGTCTTTTGCATTGTTGGCTGAAGTGAAGCGGTCGCGTACGCGGGAGGGATTCACAGTTGAACGCGCACCATCGCCATAGAAAGCGTCTCTGGCTTTGCATACCGTTAAATTGGCCAATTGGTTAGTGGAATAACTGCGAGCAGTTCTTGGCAAGTTGGCCATTTTTGAAAAGCATGCGAAGTTTTTGATTTTTAAATGCGAATTTTTGAAACCATCATTAATTGTTTCGGAACCCTGCCAGCCGAACTAAACAGAACTGCATGTCTGCATCCGAATGACTTTATATATGTACCTATGTCAAATGTCCCTCTAAATACAAAATTTGTTCCTACCCATGGATCATTTATCGTTGACTTATAAAAAGTTAATGTTCGCTTTTGCAATTGGTTTGTATTGCAATTAAAATAAAAAATAAGATGTTTGACCAAAACGCCCACCATACAATAAATAATGATTTACTAATATCCTCATTTGCGCATGAATCCACAAATCTACTAATTTCATACCGAAAATATGAATAGGCAAAAGGCAATCCGAAAGTAAAATTATTTAGTTGCAGTTTTTATTATTTATTTAATGTTTGTCAATATTACAAAGTAGTTTTTCAACATAATCTCCATTTAACTAAATACATTTATCCCAAGGATAAACAATTTTTTTAAGCCGCCCTCCAAGAACTTTTCCGGTGTCCCCTCAATGCCACCACAGGTGATAATCACTGGGTGTAAGATCCGGGCGGAATAAGGTGGGTGCCGAAGCAATTCCATCGTAAATCGTACACAACATCCTTCGTATTTCTTGCAGTGTGTGGTCTTGCATTATCCTGTTGCGATAATGGATGCTTATGCAACTTTCCAGGCCGTATTTTGACTGGTGTCTGTCGCAGTGGTCCGCTGAATATTTTCTAATAATTTGATGTTTTCACACCTTTCCTCAAAAATAAAATGATTGCTCTTTGAGTTTTTGCGACGTCTTCCATGGTTACAAAAACAGTACTATAAAAACGCGTCTATGTCAGCCGAACACCTTAAACAGACTAAAAAATATGGCAGCACAAACATGCCAAGACCTGTCTGGCACCAATAATTGCCTATAAGTTCTGCGTAATTTAATTATAGCACGATTCCCAGATCTTTGGAAATATCCCTCGCCTATTTATCTCAGCCTGCAATACGCTTCAGTAATCTGGCTGTCTATAGGCCGCTGTCGAAGACAGTTTCTGCGAGAAGGCGCCACATCCTGTTCCTAGGTCCATCTTGAGATTATCGGTGAAGATTGGTATCAATTACTTCCGCGGAGAAATGGATTTCTATTATAAGTTGCGCTCAAAGTGTAATTCCGCGTTCTGAAAATACGATGTAATTGTCATAGTTATTTTAGCTGTGGCGATTTTCACATAGATCTTTATAGGTGGATAGTAAAGAATTGCCTCTAGCGCTACTAAGGGCGTTGAACGAGTACAGCGCAAAGATGAAAATAGGTCTAACCACCACTGTAGAATCTTTCCTTTTTCGCATTTCAGCACACAGTTTCGCTTTACTTGACAATTGGTCGTTTGAATAATGTGAAAAGAACTAGTTCAGTTTTGCAGGGATTAAACGCCCGAGCCTTCTTTTCTACTCACCTTGCTAGATAGATTACAATATCTCACTAACCATTGAGGTGAACTTTCCTACAACCAGAATAACAATTAGGCCATCTGACATAACTCTAATGGCTTTCGGTGTAGTACGAAGCAGAAATTCGTACTTACTTCTAGATAGAGGAAACTTGGGCTTGGGGAAACTTGACAGCAAATATCTAAATTACCGATATATCCTTGCTGAAACTTTGACTTACATTGTGACATGCTTAAAAAAAAGAAAACAGTACCAAGGTAGAAAAGTTTCAATTTACAAAAAGTCGGTCACGGCACTGACTATGCTAAAGCTATCATCATCGCATGGATTATTAGCTAACAAAAATCGGTGCATGGAGAGCCTTCCTAAACTTAATTTAGATCTGACTAATACGGCAATCTTATTCACTAAAAAATCGATGCTCGTAATATTTGGTTGTGTCATTTAACTGCACTTGTGTGGTCATGTCCTAACTGAATCATTTGCCTTAAATTAACACTGCTACCCCCATACAAATGAATTTTTAGTTCCTATGCTAATTTCGATTATTTCTTTCGTTTCAGTGCGTCGAACGCTTAAGAACGGTCTAACGGAGGAGGAGAAACAACACGTTGCGGCTTTAATAAAAACCTATTAACGTTTTAAGTAGTCCTATGTAGTCGTCGACAGACTGTATGTAGCGTCATAGAAAGAAAGACTATGAAACAGACTGAGAAGCGTGAAAGAGAAGTTGGAAAAAACACACGATTTTATACCTAAATGATTTTCCTTATTGATTTTATTTTGGACGATCTCAAGCGATACCAGTGAGCAAGTAAAGTGACGGATTGGATAGCAATGAAGTGCCTTGCGGAAAAGAAGAACTTGTAAATCAACGAAAGGAACCAACGCGTCGAATGCGATAGATGAATAAAGTTTGAAATTTTGCATATTGAAATATTTGATCCGCGGAGCGCTGAATTTTACAAATGGAACGATAATAACTTAGCATGTAAACGTACAGCGTAACACGAAAGTGCCTACTCAGAATATCCCTTTTGGTGTAAATTGAGGAAAGCTGGAAAGCGCTTTTGTGGAGCAAACGGAACGGCAGTTAACGATACTTGCGAAAAGCTTATTTCTTTTACTTAGTTAATACAAAGTATATACAAAATGTATTGTAGTCAAACAACGATATTTTATTATTAGACCTTATCGATTATAAACTTTCTCACATCTCTTCTTATTTTTGTAAAATTATTAATTCTAATTTCTTTCTTTATTTTATTGTGTACACTCGCATGTTAGTTGTTATATTTAAATTAACGAATTTCCCAATCTTATGGGTTCACTTAGTTGGAGCATGGAAAGATGGATTTAGATTAAAATTCTTTAGTTTTTTTTGTTTCAATTTTGATTTGGTTAAGTAATGTATTCACTCTCTTGTTATCGCGCTTCAATTAACTGAAATTATATAATATTTATATTGGACATGATCTGAAAATTTTGGTGAAAATCTTAAAACTAAAAATGCGTAAAACAAATAAAGAAAAATAAAAAAAAAATGGAAAATATTTATATGAAAAAAGTTTTAAAACAAAAGTTTGCAGTATGTGCTTTTAATTTATTATTTTGTATTAAGCGTACTTCAATTGCAATTCTAATGACGAATTAGTTAAAAAAAACCGTAATTTTAATAAAAAAAAATCAGAAAAAATTGTTGAATTAAAATACCAAAATATATGTTTTCGTTTTTATAAAAGAATGAACTTATATTAATGTTAGTGTTAGGCTGTGCTTCTCCTCCGATTTGTGGTGTGCGCCTGGTCTTTAAATTTTTGTAAGGTATACCTTCTTGAATACAGTTAAAGTACAGTTCCGCAAGCATAGTATCTGTCTTACTAATCCCTCGTAGGTGTAAACAAATAATTCTTATCGTTGTCAAAATAGTAACCGGCATTATCCTCCTTTCCGATATCATTATATCTATTACGATTTCATTGCATAAATTCGGATAATAATTGTTATCGTCAAGCTCAATTAACAGTACATGCACTTGCTGTTTCGATGGGATCGGAACGAATGAAGATAATAGTTCATTGGAATGGCTCGGGGTTTATCCAACGAAAAGTTGACATTCCGGCGATCTAGCCCTGGTTAGATAGGATAAGCGTTTTATAACTTTTTGCTTGTCCTCTCCTTCGATTTTCTTATTGTTAGCTGCAATTATGCTACAAAAAATTTACACTTTCGTCCACATACAAGAGCTCTGAGTGGCGAGACAAAACAACTGTGGGCTCAAGACGCTATGGTGGTGGTGTAGTACATTGTAGTCTAACTCATCAGGAATCAATCTCAGAAAAATGTTCTCAAGTAAAGCATTAAAAATCCGGATGATGTTTGCAGAGGATGTTTCATGGACTGATACCTAGGCGTATACTCTGGTCCTTCTTCTAAACAACTTTGTGGGAAAATCAAAAATGAGGAGTCCAGGAGAGTCAGTAGACTTCTTCACTAGGTAAAGGGCTAGCTGGTATAAATATTTGCACTTAGGTCAGGAATATTTGCTCTTGCAGTAGGACAATGAGCCTTTCATTGGCGTGTGAAGGTCAGCAGCCATTTCGTTCCTAAATTCAATACTAGCGAAATCAAGAACATGTCAGATCGACAAACGATGAATAAGCTTTCCTTATCACGTTTTAGTTTTCTTAGCGTAATCCCGAATATTCAAACTATCCCTTATATGCCCTCACTAGCTCTTCATTACATGGAATATTTTTCTTAAATTTATTCAGCAATACAAAACAACTTAAATACGTAGGATACAAATAACACAAACATTCCCAAACTAAACCCTAAAACCCATTTGTGCACGGCTGCTGCACGAAATCCAAACAAAAGCCCCGATTGTCCACATCCGTTGGCGCCTCTACCCCATCCGTATGGAAATACAAACGAAATGGACGTACGCTCGCTAAATTAAAGTAAATGAAAGTACTTAATCACAATCCAATCCAAAAGACCACTCCGCAGCAGCTCACTTACATTGCACAGTTCGTTGAATGGTGCCCACTTCGGCGCTAAAGGTGCCGCCACACACGCGATCTTCACAAGCGGCCAACTGCGGTATGCGATCCACCGAGCGCATACAACCGATCAACAGCCAATCGTTGATGCAGGTATTCTGTGTCACTTGCGTGCCGCCACCCACCATGGAGCCGGTGGGATTGTTCGAGTTGCCGGAGATGGTGAATGAACGCGAGCGATTGTTCTCTTAAAGGGGGAAGAAAATAAAAACTTCCGTCTTAACCAGCAACTCCATTTCAGAGGCGCGCACTCACCAGTATCGGGACAAGCGTTGTATTGTATGCTGCAAAAGTTGCGCTCTGCGCGTATGCAAATACTGTAGTCCTGATTGGAGAGCTGTCGCCCAGTTACGGTGTTGAAGTTGAAACTGCGCACACGCCCACTAATGCCGGTGAAGTATTGCAAGCAGCCATGATCGGCGCGACTCAAACTACCGCAATGGATTTGGGTCACACGAATGCGCCAAAGACGCGAAAATGTGCCACTCGTAATGACGGAGAGCACTATGGCGTTACTCTGTCCCAGCCCTGCGTCTATATACACTACGAAAAAGTATCATTTTGTTTTTATTGATTCTAAACGCATAAAGGCTCAAAACTTACTATGGTCGCCAGCTGAAGAGCCACAAATTGTAGGAATTGGACTGCCGCCAGAGATAAGCAGTTGATCCTGATTGCAGACGTGATTCAGTGACTCGGGTGGCGCAACAGAGAACATATCCAAATCGAGTCTGGAAAGAAGACAAAGCTTAAGAGAATGAATTTTCGTTGTAAAATCACTACCAACCTCAGCTGGCAAACATCTGGATGTATCTTTTGCACTGTCACCTGACAGCTTCCAGTGCCATCATACACATCCGGATGATTTGGATTGACAAAGTAGGTGGAGTTCTGACGTATAATGCCGCCGCATGTTTGTAGAACTAAAATCATAGAAAACACATTTTATGCTTAAAATAATAGTACAAGTACAATTTTGCGCTTATTGTTAATAAATTTCTTATTTACAAACACAGCACAGCCCATAGCCACCAGCGCAAGGTCCTGCTGGTATTCCTGAGCGCAGCACGCAATCCTTGCTTGGTATACAGGTGCCATGCTCCCCAGATGAAGCCGTACAGCTGCCCGGGCCAATAGGAGCCATGCTAAAAATCGGTAGAACTGCAAAATTAAAGAAAATTTATAATGAATTTAGTAACATTTATTTTGTAAAATTTTGAAAGCGTAGGAGCTAATCATTTGATCAAAACAGAATTAATTAATTTTTTATATGCTTCTTGTCGAAACTAACACAAACAAAGCTTGTAAAAAAATTTACCCGGAAAACCAGGGCTTCGGAGCAAAGGGTTTTTTCATCACTCCGCTCCAGCTCCCAATAAAAATTTGTATTTATTTTTTTACTTATTGTTCGCTAACCGCCAAAAAAATTAACCGAATTTTTTTATTGTTATTATTTTTTTGTCGCTTACGTTTTTTTCGCGGTTAGGGCTATTAACCCAGCTAGCAAAAAACCCGAAAATATATTCGAAAAAAGCAAAAAAAAAGTTGATGAAATGCGGATTTTTATCCATTTAGCGATTCCATTTTCGAATACTTTGGCGTTTTACAGACAAGCACCAAAAATTGTTTCGAAACGGATACGTTTTTGACTGTTTTTCTGAAATTTAAATTTTTTGTTCAATAACCTTTCCTTCTGCACTTCACAGATGTTCAAAAAAAAAATGAAATAAAGCAGCGCCTGAGTTCATTCGCACCCGACACCTTCTGAAAGCTATCAGATACTAGCAGCTTGAACAAATAAAATACAATCATTTTGGAACGTTTTCCGGATACGAAAATGAATGAAAATTTAAGTACTCATTTTACTCAACTTCGGTGTAAAAAAAAAAATTCTTAACTCAAATTATTGTAGAGTGCACCCCATAACATTATACTTAAATATTGCGCAATACTCATAGCTACCATTGTGATTTTTTCCAATTTTTTTTTGAAATGGCATATTTAAAAAAACTAATTTTTTTTATCAAAAAATTTGTATGTGGAAAATTTTTCAAGAGAAAAATTAAAAACTATTTTTTTTTCGTAGGGAATATTGATGTGTGTATGTGTGATTTTATCGATAAAAACGTTTTAATTGCGTATGCATGTTCACTTTGAGCAAATTGTGAGCACTGGTTGGGGAAATCTTCGGTAGATTGGGCAAATCGCTAATTGGGCCCCAATTGGGCCAAAATTAGAGCCCACTTGGGAAAAACTTTTGGCTCTGATCGGGCAACCTGAAAAAATTTCCAGCAAGGAAACTTTATCATAAGACTGCGTTTATACACGAAAACTTTTGTCGCCGCAATTTTTCACATTCCCTTTTGGTGTTGCTCGTTTCATTTACACACGGCGATTTGTGTGTATGCAATTGTTGTTGTCAGCTGTGAACAGCTTTTCAATTTACACAGACGAACGAGAGCACAAAGCTTGTTGCCGGAACACGAGCAACTCGGTGCCCATCTCCTTTCCTCGTCACGCTCTCTCCAACGAACGTCGAGATGCGGCAACAAAAATCGCCGTGTGTAAATGAGCACTAATGGGCAACTATTTTTGCGTCCTCAACTGGCACGAAAATCTGCTAGCATGATATAAGTGCATTTTCAGAAAAAAAAATCATAACTCGAAAACGACGAATTTAAGCATATTGCTACTCGTACTGAAAATAGTTTATACTATTCCCTTATAGACAAAAAAGTTTGAGAGAAAAAAAAGATGTGGCAATTTGAAAAAAATCAATTTGAAAAAAAAATTTTTTGTTTATAAACAATAATTAATTATTAATAAACAATTACTGATGTTTAGT